AAATTTAAAGGAAAACTGCTTTGTCTTTTCTTTACTAGTCCAAAGGAGTCGGTCGCTTTGCAGGACGGAAAAGAAGTGACTCTCTAAAGGAAGGGATTTCTCTTTGTCTTCTATACACAACCCAGTCCTTCTCCGGAGCAATTTGCCATCACCGCAATACATAGCTGTCTGCTAAATACATTTGCTCCTCACAAGCCATTGCAGTGATCAGGCTGGAGAGGGATTTCCAACAGGTGCTGGCCACCTTTCCGGCCTGCTCCCGAAAAAAAGCCCCTCAGAGGATTTTCGACCACTAAATCCTCCAAGGGAAAAAGGGAGGGGGGAAAAAACCCCAATAAGCAAGCTCCGATGTCTCTCCTCCGAATCACTCCTTTGCCTGATGGTGAAGCCAAGTGCTGGCCTAGCTGTATTTTCACCTACGCCAGAATGCCAAAAAAAAAAAAAGGGGGGACTGACCTGCATGGCTTTGATGCTCAAAGCTTTTTTTTCTCTCTCTCTTTTTTGTTTTTTTTGCGGTGGCATCACTTTCAAGCTGTTTCTCAAGAGCAATAACACAAGGCTAGCAGCTACAAAGCCCATTGCTGGATGCCAGCTCCATTCGATGGGTGCCAAGGAAATAACCAGGAGAGAAAGACTGGTATGCTGGCTTTGGACTCATCCGGGACACGTGTGGGTTTTTCAACACGGCTTTTCTGTCTTCTATCAAATTGGCAGAAGAGAATCCCACTCGCAGCTCTTAGCTGTGACACCAAGGAGTAGTCTCTTCTCTTGGTGGACTTCACCTGCCTGCCTTTCATTCCCTAGCTAAAACGGGCCACTTTCATTCTGCTGAAGGGTTGGAGTACTAGATGTCATCCGAATTATCAATCCATCCTCCTGCTTCTTCATTGCCTAACCACGGAATGCGTTTTCACCAGTGACCTGGCCAGCGTTCATTCATATTTGCCATATCCAGCCAACCAAAGCTTAGCAAAACGGGGGCAGTTCACAGAAAGGCACGATTTGAACGCACCAAGAACCCTCCCAAGCCAGATGGGATTTTTTTTGAGGTGGGCAGGAAGGCTCCCTTCTCCTCCTCTCGCGCCCTTCCAATTCTGCAGCACCCCAGCCCCAACTCAGACCTTGATCTCAGAGTACCTACGAAAAGCACTGGTCTCTTTAATGTCTTACTCTTCTGAGCAATTCACTGTACCAGAGGGGGGGGGTTGTTGTTGTTGTTTTAAACGAGAGGAAAGCAAAGGGGACTATTTTTTTTATTTATTGATTTGCTGCACTCTAATTTATTTCTGTGACTTGAGCAAGGAGACAAAGGAGGGTGGGAGAATCTCAATTTCTTTTTAAGTTATTTTTGTCATATTTTTGTAAATTTGGCAGAAATGCAATAAAATTATATTTCAACAAAAGGAATAAAAGTCGGGTAGGGCGGGGCAGATACCAGCAGCTTCTTCAGCATTTATTTACACAAGGCCCTGATTGGTAACTTTTGCTACACTCAGAGGATACATTATAAGGAGATTGAGGGTCTCATTTAATTTATATGTTGCCCATCTCACTACCCAAGAGACTCTGGGCGGCTAATCTTAAACCTATCAGATTTGATTTATTCAGCATATCCCTATATATTGAATATTATATAAATTGTGATTTTACAAGGGCCACTGACTTTTGACTGGTCCACAGAAAATGCTGTGTCAAATTCGAGCCACATTACCACCTAGTGCTATTCTACTTTATTATTAATTCTACTTTTTAAGGCAATAGTAAGGCTTCAAGGAGGCTTTAAAAATAAGTTTCCTGAAATTTAATTGGATTATGTGTGTGCAGAGAATATTAGAATGTGTATACAGTACATGTGAATCAAATGTGTATATATACATCTGCCTGGAGTAGTTGCAGTTTTCTTGGCGAGGTTTTTCAGAAGTGATTTGCCATTGCCTCCTTTTTAGGGCTGAGTGATGGGCCCCAAGATCACCCAGTTTGCTTTGTGCTTAAGGTGGCACAACAAGAGTCTCCCATTTTTTTAGCCTAGAGTCCTTAGCCTCTGCACCAAACTGGCTCTTTTAGAAATATAACCGTGTGTTAATTCCGTGTTGCTGGAGTTACACTTTGCAACTGCTTAAAATAGCCTTTGGTGACCCTGATCCAGCTAAAAGCATTCTGGCTTCGTCTCTTGGGCTAAGCAAGGGATTTTTTTTAGGGTACATTTTGAACTTTGAGAATATGGCACGTGTTCTCACAAAATCTCTTTGGGGGAAGAGGGTGCCTGCTCACGAAATGGTGGGCATGAGGGATGTAAGTCCTTCACGCAAATGCAATTTGCAGCAAGCCTATTGCTCATTTCTTTAATTAAAGGGTCTCCTAAAAAGTGTCCGGTGACCCATGGAGTTTTATGGGTTCTATGAAAGGAGTTTAGATGTACACGGACAATTATAGAGTTAACACCATGGATCATTATGTTAAAATATGGCCAGATTCTAGGTCTCAACTGTAACAATTCTTGGCAGCCACTAATTTTTGCTATAATCTACTAGTTATCTGTGTTTGCAGCCCTGATTCAGCAGTCCTATTTTAGGTATCAGAGATTTGTCAGATCTTGGGAGCCACAGACAGAAATCTATTCACCATTTTGATTATATTCTATCAAACTCAGCATTGACTTTTAGCAACGACACAGACAAATCTTCTAGAAAATCCATTCATATTTAACAGACACCTGGGTTTAGTTGACCCCTCTTTTCTTCCATTAATTTACACAGCTATAGCAAATTGGTTCATGCATTTTGTTGAGTCAAAACCAAACCATTCATATTATGGTTTATAGATTGTTCTACCAAATGGAAGCTAAAAGAATTTCACAAGGTGAAATTAATGCAAAACAACCAAGCGAGAAAGCGAAGTCATGAGCTGCCTGCCATCCCAAATCTGATATTCACACTCTGTAATTTGAAACTAGGATCCTGTTGGTTTTGCACTATGTAATCTTACAGCTGTGAATTGGGCAGGCCATGGTTCCAGTTCCACAGTCATATTTTGCCGTTGCTGACAAACGAAGTTGAGTGTGTTGATGGTTTACTACAAAGGCACCGTTTGAGTTTTCAGGCCACATAAAGTCCTTATACATACAAAATTCCAATCAAATTAAGTAAAAAGATTAGTTTTACTTCTACATTTATAATTTTGAAATAAACAGAGTACATTCTCCAGTGGGCCAGAATCCACTTAAACCAAATTATATTTCCTAGATTACAAAGTATTGCACATGCATAATTTGAAATGCATCAATACAGTTTGCAGAATTCATCAAAACGCACCATCATCTGACTTGGTGCACGGTGTGAACGAGGCCCATTAGGGATTTCCACACACACACACACCCAAAAAATCTGTATTAAAGTTGATACTAGTTTATTACTTGGCAATGAAAACAATTGGATACTGCTTTTCACTGTATAAACCTAGCAGCAATTACAACTATCACCAAAAAAAAAAAAAGGTGAAAAACATCTATTAAAAGAATTGGGGAGTTTTAGCTGTTGAGAAAGGGCAACATAAAAAGGATGCATTTATAAATCGAGCTAAAATATACCAGAGTTGGAGTCTTGAGTGCAATTTATTTGATTTTTTTAAATCCTGCCTTTATTATCTTATAAGATGGCTAACATGCATAATGCTCCTTCCTTCTATTTTCCCACAACAACCCTGTGAGGTGGGTTGATCTGGGAGTGACTGGCCCAAAGCCACCCAGCTCCATGCCGAAGGTGGGACTAGAACTCACAGCTTCCCAACACCTTATCCCATGACAGGAAGCTGCCTCAATAAAAGTTATTCCACAGGACTCACACTAACTCAGAGACAAACCACATCCACATCCTGTGACAGCTTATGTCAGGGGTGGGGAACTATGGCCCTTTTACGACTTGTGGACTTCAATCCCCAGAATTCCTGAGCCAGGGCTGGCTTAGGAATTCTGGGAGTTGAAGTCCACAAGTCGTAAACAGGCCATAATTTCCCACCTCTGGTTTATGTGAATAAGCCGTTATGTCCAATTCACCTGATCCACACATTCTTCATACATACATACATTCCTTCACTCCTTTTTTATTATTATTATTACAATTGTCCCTAAACTAAGTCAATCTGCTTTGATGTCCAGGCATGATATTGATGCAAAAAGACCAAGGGTGAGATCACACAGCTTGCTTATTGAAACAGCCAAAGGATATTGGTGGAGTGTCACTTCTATAACCAGCATACCAGTTACAGAAACAGCCAGTCACTATTTCATTTGCCTGAGAAATCAGAAATAGTTTTCTTTTATTTGTTAGGTTCTCAACTGACTTAAGGCCAGGCGGCCATAGTGAGAGGCTGCCAATCAGAAGAGAGGACTGTAGCCCGACAATTACTTAGAATAAGGCAGCTCATGTCACCTTGGCTTAAAATGTTAAAACATCTCAGAATTAAGCACTTCGCTGCATTAAAGCAGGGTAAGCAACCTTTCTTTCTTTCAGATCTATGTTCCCTCTGGATAAACCGCTGTGGGCCATGTAACAGGATGGATGGTTGGGTCCAGAGCTTTTTTAAAAAAAAGTGGGGACTAGAAGTGTGCAGAATTATTTATAAGGTTAACACGTTTGGACCTTAAAGATATTCCATCCTTAGAATGAGTATTCTGCGCTGTACCAATCCTATCAAGAGTGTTCCAACCTCAAATCAGATTTAGCATCAATTTCAATATCAAAGCTCTGACCTTGAAATGTTTTGCAAGCATCTGACAGACGCACGTTCTCTGACTCACACAGACACACACACGCACACACACCTCTTTCAAGCAGCAGGCTGGAAGACAGGATACTGACCCCTTCCCAGGGATCCGATTTCTTGCACGAGGGGTTTGCAACTGATCTCGGAACTACAGGCAGCTCTAGAGAGCGATGTTGCTGGCCCTTGCCCTAGAGTTTCCAACAAGGTTTTTTTTTTTTTAAACAAGAACTTGTTAAAAGTGGTGAGAAATATCCCGCTTTATTCTACTTGAAAAGTTGCACAGAACTGGTCCATCCAAAGAATGGTGCAAAAAAGATGCCGGGCAAGCCCAAATAGGTTTTCGCTTGCTATCTACGACCGATGTGCTAATGAGTTTCCCAGGGGTGTGAGGGGGAGCCAGAGGGTCACGGGGTGGGAGGGGGAGGAGACAGGCCAGAGAAAGTAACATGATAACACAACATTTGCCAGCAAAATGGGTACAATCTCAGCCAGAGATCATCAGCTGAAGAGAGACCACCGCAAACAACCTGATCTCCCCCCCACCCCACCATTGCTGGAAAACAGAAAATGGTATGCAGGTAGCAACACACCTGGAGAAGGATGGGTAAGAAATAAACCTTCCCTCCCCTCCATGAGTTTCTCCTGTTATCGAAACAATGCTAAGTTATGACACACCAGTAGTTGTACAGTAATTGTGAGATGGAAATTCTCGATAATAACAGAGGACACAATGCGGAGGGGGTGCCATCGGCATGAACTGAGCTCCCTCTTCAGAGAGCAGCTCATTTCTCAAAAAAAAAAGAAAAAAAAAAAAAAAGAAGGGGTAGCCACAAAAGTTGAATTTTTTTTAAAAAAAAGCACTGATCACAGATTAAACATCATTACTTTCTGATTTGCTCTGAACATGAGAGCGAGAGAGAACGCACGCATAAATAATTTTTAAAAATGGAAAAAGAATCCTCCCTCCCCCATCCCAAAAATAAATACGTTGGCTTCTACAAAGTCAGAAATGGTATAGGCTGCACGATGGAGGACAGGAGGAAGAGATGGGGAAGGCAGAGGGCTGACGGAAGTGTGCGTGAGTGTGTATGTACATGTGCGTGCCTGTGTACACACTGAAAGACACACAGAAAAAAAAATAAAAATAAAACCCACACAGGAAGCGCCTGTAAATTTTAACACAGAAGACTGGAGAGAATTTTAAGTGTCCTCATTCATATCTTGGCTGTCTGTCCGGGCAATTTTGCGAGGTGGGGCAGAGTTTTCACCTTCTATTTCCACTTGCTCAGGATCTCTTTTCTTCGCTGCATTCTAATAGGAGGGGAAAAAAAGACAAGAAAAATTAGATTGGCTTGACTCGGGTGAAATCCAGTAGGTTCTGAGAGGTTCTGGAGAACCCGTAGCAGAAATTTTGAGCATTCAGAGAACTGGTAGCGCAAATTTTGAGTAGTTCGAAGAACCAGCAAATACCACCTCTGGCTGGCCCCAGAGTGGGGTGGGAATGGAGACTTTGCAGTATCCTTCCTCTGCCACCTGTGCCCACCAAGTCACACCACACCAAGCCGCACCCACAGAACCAGCAGTAAAAAAAAATTGATTTCACCACTGGCTTGACTCCCTCACACTTCAAGCCCCCAAATCTTTTCTCAGGGTTTTTGAAACTGGATTCTCTCCCAAAGCAAACATCAGATACCAATTTTGCTTCCAGTAAGACTTCTGGCAGTGCAAACAAGCAAGCAAAAAATGGTAGGCTAGAAGCCGCTTATTGTCCATCCCAAGTGAGATTCCACTAGAGTTGTGGATCTATAAATTGTTTTTAATCTGCTGGCCTCCCTATACTGTTTCTAACACGCACAAACACTAAGAATGGCACTTGACAACAATTTTCACAAAAAAACCTACCTTTTTGTCCCACTGCTGATGTAGGTAACGCAAGAGTATATTTGTCTTTTCTGTGACAATTACTGTTGAAGAAAGACAAGAAAAAAAGGATCAATACAGAATGAAACAAATCCACAAGAAAGCATTGCAGGATTCTAGACTTCGCTGACTGCAGGATTATGGGAGACAGAGGTTGTTTGCTTGGAGTTTAAACAAACGCAGAGAAGAGCTGTCACTCAGCAGGAGAGCTCACATTTCACATGAGGAAAGTCACAGGTTCAATCCCTGGAGATCATCTCTCCAGCCAAAAGAAAGGAAGAAAATTATTTCCACAGGATCTTATGGAGCTCGAAACAATCAGGGAAGGTGCAATTCTGGCTACAGAACAACTGGTTCCCTCAGGAGTAGGAAGCCTTTAGCCTTATTCAAGACCAAATAACGAAAATACAGGTAGTCCTCAACTTAGAACCATTTGTTTGGTGACTGATATTACAACAGCACTGAAAAAAATGATTAATGAAAAAAGTGATTAACGATCAGTCCTTACACCTTCGAGACCGTCTTCTGCCACCAATAGCCTCCCACCGACCAGTTCGTTCCCACAGAGAGGGTCTCCTCAGGGTGCCATCAGCCAAGTTATGTCGGCTGGCGACACCCAGGGGGAGGGCCTTCTCTGTGGGAGCCCCAGCCCTGTGGAATGAACTGCCCCCGGAAATACGTAAGATCTCCGACCTCCGGGTGTTTCACTGCGCACTGAAGACCCTGTTGTTCCGCCAGGCAGGGCTATCAACATAATAATTTTAAATTGGGGTATTTTAATTTTTGGGGTTTTAAATCGGCCAAATTTATTTAATTATTTTAATTTTTAATCATTGTTGTGTCCTGTGTTTTTAAATTGGCTGTACACCGCCCTGAGTCCTTCGGGAGAAGGGTGGTATAGAAATAAAATTATTATTATTATTATTATTATTATTATTATTATTATTATTATTATTATTATTCCTAACTATCACTGCAGCATCCCCCCAGTCATGTGATCAAAATTTAGGCACCTAACAACTGGCAATGCATGTATGATGGTTGCAGTGTCCTATGGACACATGATCAGCATTTCTAATCTTCCCAGCTGGTTTTGGACTCCCTGTAATAAAGCCACTCTTGTATCAGGAAGAGTAGCCCCCTCCACTAGAATCTCTTAGGATAGGCCAGGGCATGCAAATTCTACTCTAATTCTCATATTTCCCTTCCCGCCCTTCTCCTCTTTTGTATTTTGTCTATTAAATATTTGTAGACTTTTGTCTTTTCATAGCTTTACAGCATGTAAAAAGTCAGCATTTTTTCCATCCACATAAATCATCATCATCATCATCATCATCATCATCATCATCACCATCATCATCTAATCCTTGTTATAGTGGTTAAGGGTTTGGCCTAGAACCTAGGAGTTTGGTCTTCCCCTAAGCATGAAAGCCAGCTTGGGTGATTTTGGCCTAGTCCAGGGGTCTGCAACCTTAAACACTCAAAGAGCCATTTGGACCTGTTTCCCACAGAAAAGAAAACAGCGGGAGCCACAAAACCCTTCCAGTGCCCGGCTATTTCTTGAACGGCCACAAAATAAGCATATGTAGTTGAATTAAATGTTCTGTTTTCTTCTGAAACTTTTCTTGGATTTATCCATGGTTGGCCCACCAGAGGTTGAAAAGTTCAATAAATCACGTGCGGCGGGTGTCGCACATTGGCAGTTGTGATGCATATTTTGAGTGACAGGGAGTCACAGCAGAGGGGTGAAATAGCCACATGCGGCTCCAGAGCCGCAGGTTGCTGACCCCTGAGCTAGTCATTCTCTCAGCCCAACCCATCTTGTAGGGTGGTTCTTGGGAGGGAGGGAGGGGAGCGAGGGAAAGAAGGAAGGAAGGAAGGAAGGAAGGAAGGAAGGAAGGAAGGAAGGAAGGAAGGAAGGAAGGAAGGAGCATTACATACCCTCCCTTGAGTTTTACAAAAAAATAGGCAAAATATAAATCTCCTGGTTTAAACCAAAGCTCCCTCTCTCTAATCCCATTGGTTGTTTATCAACCAGATGTCTAGGAAAGAAACCCATAGACAAAGGCATACAATAAATACCTTACCTATTGTTTGTCCCCAACATCTGGCCTATCATAATGCCATAACCCTGTGCATTTGCACTTCACACGTAGGGAGGAGGGGGAAATTTCAAAACAATTCAGGCAAGGATGTGGACACCATCGCTCGATATTCAAGGCAACTGAGTTGGCCGCAGCAAATTGGCTGTGGCAAGTTGTCCCACTCCGCTCTGCAGAACCTGGGAAGGAATTTTTTTGCTCCCTTTGCCATTTTGCCCAATGGATTGGGGCTGGGCACAAGAAAGAGCTTGTTGGGTCATTTCTTGTGAACACTCTAATGCATGGGCGTCAAACTCGCCGCCTCATGTTGCCGTCATGTGACATATCGCAGTGTTTTTCCTTCGTGGAGCTGGGGTAGGCGTGGCCTATGCGTGACGCATGCGGCTCGTGGGCCACCAGTTTGACACCCCTGATCTAATGCAACCTTTCTGGGCTGCCTAGGAATTCTAAGGGTTGTAATCCCAACTTAAATTCAGGGCATCCAGTTCTAAGGACAGCTATCTACAGCCTGCTATCAGAATTTCATCAAGAATTTCTCGATCTGGCTGGCTACAATTTGGTCCAGAAAGATATATATATATACATACTGTATATATCTTACCAATCCAAATATATCAGAAGTGGTCCAACCACAAAACTGACCAATCCAACCTAATTCTGAGATTGTATCACATATATTTGAAATGACTTCAAGATTGGAATGCTCTGACTGTACAGGACTTACAACTGCTCATTTAGTGACCATTCAAAATTACAGTGGCACTTATGACCATCGCAGCATCCCCATGGTCACATGATCAAAATTTGGGGCCCTTGGCAACGGGCATGTATTTACAACAGCTGCAGTGTGTCAGGATCATGGTGTTACCACCTGCGGCCTTTCCAGCAGGCTTCTGACAAGCAAAGTCAATTGGGGGGGGGGAGCTGGATTCACATAATGACCAAGTGATTCACGTAACAAGTGTGGCAAAGCAGATCGTAAAATCAGGTGCAACTCACCTGCATAGCAATAGAAGTTCTGATCCCAATTGAGGTCATAAATTGAAGACTACCTGTGACGTATTTTGCCTATCTTTTGTCACTCTCCTTGTACAGATAGTCCTCAATGTATGACCACAATTGAGCCCCAAAGTTCTGTTGCTAAGTGAAAGCATTTGTTAGGTGAGTTTTGCCCCATTTTACAACTTTTCTTACCACAGTTGTTAAATGAATCACTGCGGTTGGTAAATTAGAAACAAGCTTGTTAAGTGGAACTGGTTTCCCCGTTGACTTTGCTTGTCAAAAGGTCACAAAAGGTGATCACATGACCCCGGGACATCGCAACTGTCATAAATATAAGTCGGTTGCCAAGGGTCTGAATTTTGATCACGTGACCATGAGGATGCTGCAATGGTCGTGTGAAAAACGGCCACAGGTCACTTTTTTCAGTGATGTTGTAACTTTGAATGGTCACTAAATGAGCCGTGTTGTAAGTCAAGGACTACCTGTATCCCCCTCAGAGCCCAGCTCTTAGGAAGATACGATGGGATGCTATTTCCTTTTTTTTTAATTTAATTATTTTTATAACACAATATAACAGTGATGGCTAACCTTTTTGCCGTCGTGTGCCAAAAGCGGGGGGAGGGCGGGGGGGGTGTTATGTGCAAGTGTGCCCATACCCATAATTCAAAGTGCCCCCCCTACACTCCCCCCACTTTTGGCACACGATAGCACGGTAGGTCCAGTAGGCCCATTTTTCGCCCTTCTCAGGCTCCAGAGGCTTTCTTGGAGCCTGGGGAGGGCGAAAACAGCCTTCCCCATGCCCCCCGGAGGCCCTCCAGAGGTCGGAAACAGCCTGTTTGCTGACTTCCGGTGGGACCCGAAGCCCCGGGTTTTGCCCTCCCCGGGCTCCAGTGGCTTTCTAGGAACCTGAGGAGGGCAAAAATGGGCTTTCCCCACCCCCCCAGAGGCTGGAAATGGCCCATTTGCCTACTTCTGGTGGGCCCAGAAGGCACGAAAATCAGATGCACACGTCGGAATTGAGCTAGGGCAATGCTCGCGTGCCCACCGATATGGCTTTGTGTGCCACCGGTGGCACGCATGCCATAGGTTCGCCATCACGGCAATATAACAAGACATACAACATTTATAAACGCACTCTCTTTACAGCTATTGCAAGGTGATCTTCTTTGTTATTCACAATTTCCCCTTCTTTCTCTTTATATTATTCCGATTTACTACTTGTCCCCAACATTTTAATTACTATATATACAATATATTTCTCTCATTCATATCTATTTCCTATTTTTTATACTTTAACATATCCTTTCTGTCTTTTTTAACATTTCTATCTTTCCCCCCTAATTTTCTTCTTCATTTTTCCTTCCCTCCAACCACTTATACCACTTGTGCCAAGTCCTATAGTATTCTGTATTATGCTATTTCCAAGAGTCCTCTTCTGTGTTGTAGATGCAGCCGGCTCTCTGATTTACTCAAGAATAAGTTTCAAAACAGGGCAGGAGAACAGTTAATAGTAGAGACGGCATAACGCTCACTCCAAATACAACCCAAGACGTGCAATGTCACATTTATGATGATGGCTTCAAAACAGTCCTTTCTGCCTCTACGGCACAAAGCGATTGCCCGGCAGAGCTTGAAAAATAGGCCTTCACAGTTAAATTGGAACTGGAAGCTGGCCAAGGTTTATGAGGCACTTTGAGGATAAGAAAATACTATGATTCTCATATTGCATTTGCTGCATGGCTGGTGGACAGAGTGGATAAAAAATTGATTTAATTTTTTTTAAAAAAAAAATCAGATTTTTAAAAAATTTAAATCCGATTTTTTTTATTTTTATCGAATTTATTTTAATAAAGTGCTTTTGGAGTAAAAATCTATCTAAAGATCGTTTTCTGTTTAAGATAATTTAGTTTATTCAGCATGAAATGGAGCTTAGTTATGTAGCATGAGGCTGTATATTCTGTAATATTGGGGCTGTCAGTGAGTCAACAGCAGGTCAGAGAAGGAGCAGCTGTGGGAGAGAGATGACAGTTGCTTTTTAAAAATTATGATTTAAATCGAGTTGACTTAAATCAAGCCTTTTTACTAGTGATTTAAATCATAGTTTAAATTGTGGTTGAAATAGACTTGATTTAAATCAAATCCACCCTGCTTGTGGAAATGTCCAGACCATTCTCTTATCCAAATAAGGCCTTTGTGGAGCCATACAGAGATAGTCTTGAAGAAAGTACATGGCAGCTAATTAGAAAAATATAAGCTTACTCGAAAAAGACAGCAGAGGTGAGAAAGAAATTCAAGATTGGGTCACACTCTCTCTCTCTTGGGCATAAGAGGGAGGGAAGGAAAAACACCAGCAAGCTTTTGGGTCTGTATGTATGAATCAGTCTTGACTCCTGGTGACCACCTAGATAAGGCCCTTAAGTTTTCTTGGCATGATTTCAGAAGAGGTTTGCCATTGTCTGCTTCTTTGGGCTGAGAGAGGCGACTGGACCAAAGTCATCCAGCTGGTTTGTGCCTAAGGCGAGACTAGAACTCAGAATCTCTCGGTTTCTAGCTTGGTGCACTAACCACTAGACCAGGGGTCTCCAATCTTGGTAAAACAAATAGGGCACACCAACCCAGCTGTGCTCATCCTGTAAAATCATTTCAAAATGCCTGCAGGTTTTATTTTGGATAATTGAAGTTGATCCTAAATGCTTCAGCAGAACTTCTGTAGTGGGATCGAATATGCAGAATTGAAGCAAAAGATTTTTTTTTTCATTTCTTTTCCTGCACATCCCTAATCCAGACAAACTGGATCAAAAAAGGTTTACAAGGATGATCAGAGGATTGGAAATTAAGTTTCACGAAAAGAGATTGAAGGAAATTGTTGTGTTTCACCTTCGGAAAGAAATGCAATAAGTAAATCAGAAGGTGTCAAACAGAACGGATCTGTTTTCTATCACCTCAAGGGGAAAAACAAGGAAGTCTACAAATAAGAGTTTACCAACTAAACCAATTATTAACAGTACTGCTGAGTTTCTCTTAGGCTCAGCAACCATTTGTTTTGCTTTAATTTGAATTACAGTACTGGACTTGATGTGGATGGCTAAAATGGCCACGCCCAATCTGGTGATTTTTATTTATTTTTTTTTGCTGTGAGGAAGTTAGTCATGCTGGACATCCATCTTGATATTTTGGCAACTTTCAATACCACCAATGAAAGAATATTTTGCTGGAGCAGCTCAGGGAAGGAGGGTAGGTATTAGAAAACTGAGTAAGAGGGTGTTGGTTTTTAAAAAATAAATCACAAAGATCAATAAAACATAATCACGCAAGACTTAATTTCATGACAAATAGGCTGCAGGACCCCTAAGGTCCATCTTACTCATCACGTTATTTAACATCTACACTAGCCCAAGAGCTGCATCCAGCCCCCATGTTGAGTCACACTGTTAAATAAAAATCAACTGATTTCTGCATTCTAAAATACAATGTAATATTTTAAAACCTATAGGGCACCCATTTTTTGATAGGATCCTCTCGCTGCAGTCCTTCGACATACCCCAGCCTAAGTGACGTAACCAGAAAACTCTGGATTAATTTATATGAAGACTAAACAACCCGTGACCAGTTGGGTCATCATTTCAGAGATATTTCCTTACTTAAACAGAAAAACAGAATGATCAAGGACAAACAAAAGCAGTGGGAACAGGAATGATTAACCTCCAGGAGGCTTAACGTAGCTGACCAACTTCGGGGAATCAATGGTGGACTGATCTACCCAGCCTCCAGAGGGCCTGGGAGGACGAGTGGCATAGCTATAATCCTGTATTGCAGGCTGATTTTGCTTACATTCTGGAGTTCCATCCTGGTGTCAACTCCCTATTTTATGCATTTTCGGTCTTTTACAGCCACAATTGAAAGTTTTTCCATTGCGCATATTTAGCCTTATGATATCCAAATTCATTAAAAAATCATAATAGTAATTCTAGCAAAGAAATAGTAAAATAAGCTTCCAAATGCAATCCAAATCTATCTCATAGTGCTAAATAATAGACTAATGAACTATCTCTGTTTCACCCTAACTATGAGTTTGAAGGAAGAATCTACTCTTCCAGGACAGTTCTACATTAAAAACTGATTTGGTCTGTCTCCATATAAAAAGGTACACCACAAATCATTTACATTTTTAACTGCTGAGAAATATAAAATACACAAATTGCCTTTGTACATATACAGTAACAACTTTCCATGGATGGTAGGCAGGAATAACAAAAGCAGGCAGGGACTTACTCTGTTCTGATGGATATTCCCTTGTCGGAAGATAAACTGAAGGTCTTCTGTTCTGTAAATAATTTTTTAAAAAAAAAATAAAGAGTTATGCTGTGTGTTAAGAGGCAGTTCAGTCCCCATATTGTTAAACATTCAAACTGCAGTTGTAATTGAATATTTCTTACAAAATAAGAAAAAGATAACTTTCCAAACAGTTCATTAGACATCATGTCCTAATGGAAGCTGATTTATTGCTTATTATTTGCTGGAATTCTCCAAAGAATGCAGAATCTGTCAGGTCCCTGTTAGATTCAGAAAGGTATGCCTTCGCTCCCGAATAAATACAAGCTGACCATTTAATGCATTTATAAGGTGTATATCCCACTTCTCATACAGGAGAGCAAGACAAAATATATACCACTCTGTTGTCTCATCCCTACAATAACTCTGTACAGCGGACTAGGTTAAGAAAATGACTGGCTCAGTTACTTAGTGGGCTTCCATTACTAAGAATGAACAAAAATCTGAGTTCTTTCTGTTTCTAATCCAATACCTTCAACACCATCAGTCTCTCAACAGCATTGGATAACTATGGAAGTTAAACAGACTCTGCTTCTATGACATATGTATCAAAAGTGACACTGCCACAATGTTTTGGGTGACACGTCAAAATGCACTAAACATCCGACAACTATTCTCAAAAGCAGGCCCCATTCTCAAGCGATTTTCAAAGGCTGCACAAGAAGAGGTTGAGCTCTCTTGTGGCTTTCAAAGCCTCCAGAAGTCATGTAAGAGTTCTGGTTCACTTCATCATCGTGTAACTAACTTAACGACTGCAGTGTTTCACTTAACAACCGTGTCAAGAAAAGTGGTAACATGGGGCAAAAGTCACTTAACAAATGTCTTGCTTAGCAACGGAAATTTGCTAAGGTAGTCGTACATTAGGGACTACCTTATTTTCTTTCTTTTCTTTCTCACATTTTTCTTTTTTTTAACGTCTAAAGCAGATTGTTTGACAGTGACAAATTGCTTAAAATAGTTAACAGTATCTTTCTACTGGAAAACGTTCTGACCCATTGTACCTGGATGGAAAATTCCAGATTGATAGAAATTTAAGATTTTAGTCTGTGTCAAGTAGTTTTCTTCTGCTATTCCCGATTTTACCTTTGATCAACTCCATCAAAAGTTCTACTTCCATTCACCTATTTCTTAGAGGTATGAAACACTCTTCAGGTAAAGGTTTCCTCTTTTCAGTCATTTCTGACTCTAGGGGGCAGTGTGTATCTCCGTTTCTTAGCAGAGGGAGCCAATGTTGTCTGAAGACATTTCCGTGGTCATGTGGCCAGTGTGACTATACGCGCCACACAGAAAATTGTTACCTTCCCACCGAAGTGGTACCTATTTATCTACTTGCATTTGCATGCTTTCCAACTGCTAGGTGGGCAGGAACTGGGGCAAGTAACGGGTGTTCACTCTATCCCCATGGTGTTTGGGTCTCGAACTCAGGCTGTCATGTTTTCCATCTTTAACTGCTAAGCCATCACATTCCCTATGAAACACCATTTAGCCTATTCTTTAGTACTTCTATTACAAGTACTCTTCATTTAGTGACCACAATTGGGATCAGCAACTTGGTCATTAAGCAAAGTGGTCGCTAAATAACACAACCATGCACGTTTTCTCAGCTTTCCTTTGCTATAGACCTGCAAAGGCTAAAAATGCAAGGCTTGGTCACAAAATTACTTTTTCATCTCTACTGTAACTGTGAACAACTGCTAAACAAGGCAGTGGCTAAACAAGGACTAGCTGTAATCAATTACTTATATTTTGTTTTGGGAGGGTTTTTTTCCCTTTTTAATGTACTGAAATATGAGACTGATATAGATTCAGAATTTACAAATATATTTAATTTATATAAACACACGGAAAGAAAAAGGAGCCAATATAAAAAAGACTACAGCTGTGACAGTTTACTCCTTGGAAAGGCTTTTTAAAAAAATTATTTACAAAAAGGAACAAAAGATAACCAGCTACTAATACACGTTTCTTCACTTTCCTGTAACACACATAGAATTTGATCTGCAAAATTAAATCTTTCATAGATTTTTCTGCTATCAGCATCTACTAGTAACTCTATTCAAGAAGAGGATTAGCCAGAATACATTAAGAAAAATAATGCAGGGTTTAAACATGAGCATGGATAATTAAGCCTCTGAGACTGATGCGCATTTATTGACCATTTGTGTTGTCCTCAATTGCCATTATCTGTTTTTTATTATCTTGTTTATTTGTATTGAGTTTTTTTACCCTATGTTGGCCACTCACTCACTATTGCAAGCTAGCCATATTAATCAATTAAATATATAAATAATCCTTGATCTGCAAGAAATCTTCAGCCCCCTAAGAAAACGGTCTAATTTTGGAATAAATGTTTGCTTTTTGCAAGGAAAAGAAAGAGGGGGGGATTAAGCTAGGGACCCTTTACTGCCGTAAAACTTTTGGCCAACTCTGAATGCCATTCTCATGAATTTACAACCAAAAGGACATAGATACTTACCGATGCTTTGCATACAGAATCTGCATGGAATCGGCTGAAGTTGCTTTTGTTATAGACTGGCAATCCTTTCAGAAAGTCAGCCTAGAAAAAAGAAATTCCAATCACAGGCAAGTAGACTAGATCTCAGGATCTAAATAATGCCCCTCAGATCCCAGATGGGCCACACCGTATTTTTTTAGCAGCCAGCAGTGGGTATTTCCCTTTGAAAAAAGGAAGTTCATCCTTTAGCAGTTACCCTTCACCATCTGATTTTTTTGACCTGTACAACACTCCGTAAATAAATCTGACTACATAGGACAAACAAGCCACCTGTTTCATAGGTAACTCTTTCACTTGCATGAACAGTTCCTTCATGGTGACCCAACCTCTCTCCACCATAAGAACAGTCATAGGGAAAGGGATACACATGGAACAGTTATCAAAGCCAGGACCAGAAACCTGTGTCATAGTCTTAAAACCTGAGGCTCAAAAAGAGCCCTCCTAACTGAATAATGTACCCTACATTGTTTGAATAGAGTCTAGACAGCCAATAGTCTGAGATGCTCTTGAACTGAGCAAGGTTGGATGCCATGACCTAAATGCCCTCCCCCCAACCCCCCAAATTTGGAGACTGAATTAAATACAGGTAGTCCTCGATTTACAACAATTCATTTAGTGATCATTCAAAGTTACAACGGCACTGAAAAAAGCGACTTATGACCAGTTTTTTTTCAAACTTACCACCGTTGCAGCATCCCATGAATCCAAATTCAGGACAATTGGCAAACCGATTCACATTTTATGACCGTTTGCAGTGTTCCTGGGGGGGATCATTTTGGATCTTTCTGACACGCAAAGTCACCAACGGGAAAACCAGATTTCAGGTAATCACCCGCACGACCCACTTAAACAACGGCAGCGGTTCGCTTAACAACGAAAGGGTCGCAAAAGGTCGCAAAACTCACTGTCTTTGCTTAACCACAGAAATTTGGGACTCCGTTGAGGTCGTTAAGGCGAGGACTACCTGTGCCGTACCCTAGCAGAGGGTACCAAACCTCCACCCTAGAGACAAGCTTCCCCCTCCCCATAGACACCCCCCCCCAAAAGGCTTATCTGGGCAATGCCTTATCAAGCCAAGCAAGATCTCTGGACCTTTCCTGATCCAAGGCTGAAATTAACCTCACCCCCCCACCCCCATCTCCCCATTTTTCATTCCCCAGACCCTCCTGGCAACCCCCCCCAGCCCCCCACCCCCAGAAACGTCCCATGCCCGCCTGCCTGCCTGCCTAATCCACACCCCAAGGGCCTTCTTAGTTCAACGTCTATTTACGGATGGAGGTCACCAAGGCAGAGCGGGGCTCCCACGGATCCTCCTCTAAGGCCTCCTTCCCCACGGTGGGGTCCCGGCCAAGCCTTCAGCCCCGCACCCCAAATCCCGCACCGCTCCCCCCCCCCCCCCCCATAAAGGCCCCCCCCCCTGAAAAACCTTGTTAGCGCAGGCCGGGTGTCTCGCTGCCCTCCCTCCCCGTCCTAGAGCCCCGGGCCGGCCCAGCCCCAGCATCACCCCGCTTCTGTCCAGCGCCTGGCAGTCATTGCGCCCGGTTGAAGCCCACCACCCGGCACGCCCCCCTCCCCCTGGGGAGCCCTGCCTCCTCCCCCCTCCCCCCTTGAAGGGGAGGGGACACAAAGCCGGCGGAGGGGGCCGCTTCCACATCCAGGGCTGGGAGTGCCCACCTACCATTTTCCCCCACCAGGCACCTCCTCACCAACTTCTCATCGTCGTCCTCCTCCTCCTCCTCCTCCTCCTCCTTCTGGGTCCCCTGCTCGGCGACGCCCATCGAGGAGGCCATTGGGCCGCCGAGGGCGGAAACGGAGTCCCCATTGGTTTCTATAGACGTCGCTCCGGAAGGAACGCCCGCCCTCTCTCTCTCTCTCTCTGGCTCTCTCTCTCTCTCTCCCGTGAGCTACGGAAGGGGAAAGGGAGAAAAGACGGAAGGAAAACCCCGGATGAGACGAGGCTTTCCTCCGGGGCTTCATGGGAAATGTAGTGCGTCCCGGAAAGAAGCATAATCGTGGATCTCTTTTTTTTTTATATAAACCCAACCTTTTTTTTTTATTTTATTTATTTTTTTTTTTTAAATAAGACTCAGGGCGGCTTACAATGTGCTCAGCAATAGCCTTCATCCTTTTGTATATTTATACAAAGTCAGCTTATTGCCCCCACAAACTGGGTCCTTCCCCACTCAAGTCTTATCGGGGACCTTGTTTGAGGTGCCTGGGAGTTGCAGTTCAATATATTTGAAGGATACATTTGGGCAAAAGTGGAGGCGCCTTTGGACGCTTGTAAAATTTCTAGTGGCGTTTTCCGATTACTGTTGAAAATGTGATATTGGTATCTAACCCTACTGATTGCAGAGACCTTGGTAATGGCCAAGATGATTTAAAAGTGGACTAGAAGTGTAGAACATTAGCTTACCAATGGCTATGAATTCTAATAATTATACTATAAAGGACTTTCAGAGTCAGGCAAGGATAGGTAAAAAACACTGTAAGGTCTTGCCTCTCCAATCTTCCCAAGAAAGCAGGAATCTTGGTTCCAAAAGCAGCTTTTATTGGAAGGTTTGTGATAACAAGAGATCTATGTCAGGGAAGCCAGCTCTGACCCTATGTAATTTACACCCCAATTATGACCCTGTTTCCCACCCTCCCCCCAGGGTGTGTCATCAATCACATTCACCAACTGCGCACTTTCACGGGTTGTAGAGGTCACTCCCCTCTGGCTGCTGTAGGTAACCCTGGGATACAGCCTTGAGAGAGATAAGCATGGAAAGTGCATCTGTCTTTGGCTGCCTTACCTGTTTCCCATCTCCCCTGTCCTATGGCAACTCGAGAGCAGGCCAGGGATATTTTATGAGTAGACATTCTAGGCAAGAACTGAAGCTTCTCATTTAAAGCAATGCTAACCAAATCTCTCCCACACAACATCATTGCAGGGAAACATAAACAGAGACTTCATATAACTGTGATGGTGAACCTATGGCAAGCATGCCAGAGGTGGCAAGCAGCGCCCCTTCTGTGGGCACACGAGCCGTCGTCCTAGTTCAGCTCCACCACGCATGCATGCGCGCCTCCTGCTGGCCACCTGGTCTTCGGGTCTCTGCCACACATGCGCGGGGAGTAGGGCGCAGGTGGGGGGGCGCACATACATGGGACAAGGCGCATGCAGGGGAGTGTGCGCATGTGCAAGGGCAGGGCGCATGCAGGGGTGCCATGTGCACATTGCATTTTGGGGGTTCGGGCATGTGCATTCGCGTGCACATTTGGACACTTGGTCCAGAAAAGGTTAGCCATCACTGCCATATAGAGATTAACACAGTAATGCAAGAAACAGAAACAGAAACTTCATATAGAGATTAACACAATAATGCAGGAAACAGAAACAGAAATTTCATATACAGACCACTACATTCCTCCCCCTCCCTTCCTCCCACCAAAATGCTAGCGTCTCTGTAGAAATATCTGGGACCTGACAAATACCGTCTTTTCTGGGAAACTGGGAAAGGGCTATTATTCTCCAGCCTATGTTTGCTTAAACTGCACAATTCCAGGATGCATCTTGTAACAAATGTTATTTATCTATTTATCGTATTGCTATACATAGCCACCAATTTTCACTAAGGCCTTTGGGGAGGAAGAGTGAGATTAATCACATTTGCCATCTTTTTAACCTTTAAATTTTATTGATTTATGTAATCCTGAAAGTTACATAGATATGCAGGTATTTCTAGATAACAGCAGGTAGCCAATTTTGATTATTCTTAGAAAACTAAGCGAGGATGGACCTGGTTAACACTTCTGGTAGATCTCCACCAGAAATCTCAGAATTGTAGATTAGATTGGGAACCAAAAAAAGTAGATACAGGCAGTTCTCAATTTATTGAGGCCAAAATTTCTGTTACTAAGTGAGACAGTTGTTAAGTGAGTTTTGCCCCATTTCATGACCTTTTCTGACAGTTGTTCATTGCAGTTATTAAGGCAGTAAGAGCCGTGGTGGTGCAGTGGTTAGAATGTAGTATTGCAGGCTAATTCTGCTGATTGCTGAGTTTGAGTGTCACCGGCTCAAGGTTGACTCAGCCTTCCATCCTTCCGAGGTGGGTAAAATGAGGACCCAGATTGTTGGGGGCAATAGGCTGATTCTGTAAACCGCTTAGAGAGGGCTGGAAAGCACTATGGTATATAAGTCTAAGAGCTATTGCTATTGCTAGTAACAGGGTTAAGTGAATCCTCATTGATTTTACTTTCCAGAAGGTTGCAAAAAGTGATCAAATGACCCCCAGGATACTGCAACAATCATAAATATAAGCCAGTTGTCAAGTGCCTGATTTTTGATCATGTGACCATGGGGATGTTACAATGATGGTCTTATGTCACTTTTCCATTTAATATGCTTCAGATCAGGTATTTTTCAGATCACACATGCTACATTACAGATACTCCTTGACTGATGATCACAATTGACCATGAAATATCCATTGCTAAGCAAGACAAATGTTAAGTGAGTTTTGCTCCATTTTACAACCTTTCTTGCCACAGTTGTTAAGTGAATCACTGCAGTTATATTAGTAACATGGTTAAGTCAATCTGGCTTCTATTTCAAGTTGTTGGCTTTAGGCCCCAACACCTTACACACGTCTTTATTGAATATATGTATAATATATACTTTATTGAATATATGCCTAAAGTCAATGTTGACTCTTAGTGACCACATGCACACATGTTCTCTATGACAATGGTCTTTCAGATCTTCCAACATTGTCCCCATTGCCACTGTGACTGAGTCCATTCCTTTTCCTGATGGATCAATCTCTTCTTTCATCCCACTTTTCCTAGTATTAGAGTCTTCTCCAGAGTTCAGTCTTCAATGTCAGGGTAGTGATTTAAGAGTTGACCAGCTGCTACAATGATTCAATGATGCACTGATGTAATGATGAGAATGAGTCAGCAAGTTTTTTGGCTATTATCCCTTTAAGAGCCTGTCTAATAAGAGGCCCTATTTGGGCCTCTCTCTCTCACGATGTGTTCTTCCCTGCTGTAATTTGCTGATTGTTTGACTTCTGCCTATAGTATGTGTATGTATAGTATATATTTTTGGTAGAAAAAAAACACTATTTATTTCACCTTTAATTGCTGTTATTGCTCCTGGGTTGTCTCACGTAGTAAAGCTGTACACACTCTTGACATTCAGTAATATTTGTAATTCAGGGTTGAACATGGTTGAACTGGGAATCCTTGGTGCTGAGGCGGATATTTTCTTGCAGATGTTTCATTACCCACCTAGGTAACATCTTCACATCTGTGGGATTTGCTCTGCGTTCATGTATAGTGACTTGGCCTGACAGTGTTGATCAGAATCTTGTTTTCTTCATGATAGTTCCTCAATTTCGCTATTTACTGATTGTTGTGTGAGCAAGGCGTATTGGGGTATTGTTTATTGCTTGATTGTTGTCTAGTATTAATCCTGATGGTAATTTTGTTGTAAACTACTTTGGATGTTTTTATAAAAAGATAAAGACATAGGTCATGATTATAAGAGCTCCTCTGGGAGGAACAGCAGTGTAAAACAGAAAACCATCAAATGAGGAAAGAATCTGCTATGTTCGGAAGACAGTTACATCTCAACTGTAATTGCCTTTTTTTAAAAATGCATCACTTTATTTTTACAAAAAAATACCCATGTAAATGGAGAAAATAAATCTAACAAATTAAATGGAGGCTGCAGTGCACCTCTTTCTCCCTTTTAGACAAGACTAGGCTCAACTCCATTTCTCTCTTTGCCTAATCCACTCAGACCCAAATTGACCTTTCCTGCCCCCTGTAATCCCATCAAAACTAAACAAAAGCTTGCTCACAAGTATCCCCCAAGGGAAGCCTTAATAAGGGAATTGCAATCTAAGTAGTAGCAAGGTGAGAAATTCCTTAACATTCCATCCTCAATCAGCCTGATTATCTGAACATTACATCTCCTTAACAAGGGTTTTGCCCAGCTCTGCTGGTCTGCTGAAAAGGCCACTTTACCTAATAATCTAGGTCCATAGACAAGGACCTGCCTGCTACCCCAAACTGATCCTTGGTATTGCCAACTTTGCAGCCTTCAATTTCTATCAAAATCTTTGCTTTCCCATTCTTCAAGGTTCCTCTTTCTTGCAAAACAGCTATGCAAAACATCATTCCAAGAAACAGACTTCTCCATAGCATTGTGCTGTAAACTTCTGAATTTTCCATGACAACCAATATCTAAATCTAGACAAAAAAAAAAAACCAAACCAATTACATGATAAAAGGAGCACAAAGTTTTCCAGAAAAATAGCAACTTCAATATTTACATCTTAACTCGTTTTTTAAAACAAAAGGACATGTTTATTTTGAAGTTTGAAACAGCTTTATTCCTTCTTGGAGATATTTTAGATTCACAATCAAAACAGAAACCACTATAATCACCCCTGTGTCTAAAGGATGCCATGTAGAAATGCATACCATATTGTAGCGTTTTCTAGCAAGAAAAAGAACTAATGTATCAGGCTTCCAACTTTCTTTGAAAGGGTCTCACTAGAGACAATTTTAATGACTCAGAGATTTTCTGCCTTTCAGCATTCTTCGAAGGATCACTTCTATCCCACTGGCACTGCGGATACGTCTAATCCACCCATGTTTGTGCTTTCGCTTGAGATTCGATGGCTGGTACTCATTGCCCCGGCTTCTTGGACGAATTTGCTGGTAGTTCCAGGGCACGACCGGCCTAGGAATGCTTTGAAAAGCACTGGAAGACTCTACTGACCGAAAGGAGTTAAGAATCTGTTGCCATGGGGTGGAAAAAGCAGAGGAGATTCCACGCTGCCAAAAGAGAGAGCTCATACTCCGTGCACCAACAGGAGATATCTGGGAAAAAGAAACGGAGAAATAACAATAATAAATAAATGTTGTAAAGATCAATTTTTTATTCTGCTTTTCCTCTTATGCTCTGAATGGTATAAATTCTCTTGCTTGGCAGCCCTACAGGGTTGATTAAAGTATGCTTGCTTGTGTTTCTTATCCTAACCTCCCTTTGCTGATGCCTAAACTAAGTAACTCTGGGAGTGAAGAGGGAAAGAGAGGGCTGTAAAACTTGCCCATGAAAGCAACCTCTTTTCAGTCATGGACGAGTGAACCTGAATTTATGTAATTAATGGGGACAATTTAAATAGGAATAGCACTTAGACTTGTATACCGCTTCACAGTGCTTTATTAGCTGACTGTAAGCGGTTTACAGAGTCAGCATAATTGCTCCCAACAATCTGGGTTCTCATTTTACCGACCTCGAAAGGATGGAAGGCTGAGTCAACCTTGAGCCTGGTGAGATTTGATCTGCCAAATTGCAGGCAGCCAACAGGCAGCAGCAGTATAGCCTGCAGTACTGCATTCTAACCACTGCACCACCGTGGCTCCTAAATAAATATGATGCTATTTGTTTGGGTCTTGGAATCGCCTTTAATGTCCTCCTCCTTCTGTGTCCATCCTGCAAACTTTCAACTAATTGACAGCATAAGAATTAAAAAAAAAACCATAGAAGGAGAAGACCTTGAATTAAGTATGGATAGGAACAAAGGGTTTACTGGAATGTCTTTGGAAGAACTATGAGTTATAAAATAGTGATTAGCAATGGTGAGCCTTTGTCCACATGTTCACAGAAGTACCCAACTTGACAGCATTTCACTAATATAAAATGATGAAAAAAGGATCAAGCAATTGTCCTTTCTTGACAATTGACTGCCTACCTGTAGCAACAGCACTTAGATTTATATACTGCTTTATAGTGCTTTACAGCCCTCTCTTAGCGGTTTTACAGAGTCAGCATATTGCCCCCAACAATCTGGGTCCTCATTTTATCAACCTCAGAAGAATGGAAGGCTGAGTCAACCTTGAGCCTGGTGGGATTTGAACTGCCAAATTGCAGGCAGCTGACAGTCAGCAGAAGTAGCCTGCAGTACCGTACTCTAACCACTGCACCACCAAGGCTCTTAAAGCCACCTACAAAATTTGGGTTACTTTTTTGAGAATTTCAAGCCTACTTACCATACAAAGAAACTGGTGTTTAGCCAAGTAGGGCCTGCTCAGCTGTGGCAGCCTTCCCAAAGGAGGGGGAGGTCCTGTTGCCTGCATTTAGAAAGGTAGCAAATCAGGCAAGACTTTATTATCTTAAGTTGGCATTACTCTGTTCCTACCCTTAGCCATGATTGTAATGTACAGGTAGTCCTCGACTTACAACAGTTTATTTAGTGAGCGTTCGAAGTTACAATGGCACTGAAAAGTGACTTATAACCATATTTCACACTTCAGCATCCTCATGGTCATGCGAATTACATTCGGATGTCTGACAACTGATTCACATTTATGACAGTTGCAGTGTCCCAGAGTCATGTGATCCCCTTTTCTGATCTTCAGACAAAGAAAGTCAAAGGGGAAGCCAGATTCTCTTAACAACCGTGTTACTATTTTAAGAACTGCAGTGATTCACTTAACCAACGTGGGGAGAAAAGTCGTAAAATGGGGCAAAATTCACTTAACAAATTTCTCACTTAGCAACATACCTTTTGGGCTCATTTGTGGTTGTAAGTTGAGAACTACCTGTATTTCTACTACTGTGTTTCCCCAAAAATAAGACCCTGTCTTATATTTTTTTTTGCACCCTGAAATAAGCGCTTGGCCTTATTGCCGTGTGCTCAAAAGCCCGATTGGGCTTATTATCAGGGGATGTCTTATTTGGGGGGGGGGGGAACAAAGTATTGCATTCGAGTTATGGTGGATTGAAAACAGCCATTCATTTTAAATATTTTAAATTAAATATTAAAGGAGCCTTGGTAGTACAGTGGTTAATGCACCCTGTTATTAACACAGCTGCCTGTGTTTGAATCTTACCAGGCTCAAGGCTGACTCAGCCTTCCATCCTTTCTAAGGTAGGTGAAATGAGGACCCAGTTTGTGGGGGCAATAAGCTGACTTTGTAAAAATATACAAAAGTATGAAGGCTATTGCTTAACGCATTGTAAGCCACCCTGAGTCTCTGGAGAAGGGCGGCATATAAATCAAATTAAAAGAAAAAATATTAACTGCATTAAGGGCTATGGTGACAGAGGGCCAAGCAGTAGTTCTAACCAGAGAAAAATCTGAGCTCCCCGACTTTATGGTAAAACACAGGCAATTGCATAAGTACTCTGTCCAGCAAGGATAGAGGTAGTCTTCGACTTACAACCACAGTTGTGACCAGGATTTCTGTTGTTAAGGCAGTCATGTCCAATTTTATGATCTTTTTTACCACAATTACTGCAATTGTTAAGTGAACAGCTTGGTCATTAAGCAAATTTGGTACTACAGTGGTTTAAAGCACCCTGTTATTAACACAGCTGCCTGCAATTTACTGCTGGTTCGAATCTCTCCAAGGCTCAAGGTTGACTCAGCCTTCCATCCTTTCTAAGGTAGGTTAAATGAGGACCCAGTTTGTGGGGGCAATAAGCTGACTTTGTATAAATATACAAAAGTATGAAGGCTATTGCTTAACGCACTGTAAGCCGCCCTGAGTCTTCGGAGAAGGGCGGCATATAAATCAAATTAAAAAAAAAAAAAAAAAAAATTTGGTTTCCCCCATTGACTTTGCTTGCCAGAAGCCTAGTGGGAAAGTTACCGTATTTTTTGCTTCATAAGACGCACCGGACCATAAGACGCACTTAGGTTTAGAGGAGGAAAACAAGAACAAAAATATCAGGCGGAGCCTGAGACGACCACAGATAGGTGTCCTCTCATGTCCCAGCTCTGCCTATTGACTCCTGCACGGCGGAAAAGAGACAGAAGAGGTGGGCAATGACAAAGACAGAAGTGGCGGGGTTCAGCACTATAAAAGGACCCCGCCGCCATGGCCCACCTGCTATTCACCAAAGGACCAGCACTGTTTCCACCCACTTTTTTGGGGGGGGAAGGTGTCTTATGGACCAAAAAATACAGTACATGCAATGCTGGGATGTTGCAAGCACTGTGAATACATGCCGGTTGCCAAGCACCCGGATTTTGATCACGTGGGGATGCTGCAACAGTCATAAGTGTGAGGACTAGTCTTAAGTTTTTTTTCAGTGCTGTTTTAACTTCGAAAGTTTCTAAGTTGAGGACTATCTGTATGTGGCATGCTACAAATAGAGGATGCCACTGATATTCTTTTGACTGCATCTTAATGCTTCAGCCAGAGCACAGCATTTAAAGTTGCTAACTGATAACCTATTAGGACCCCATCAATAAGCTATTTTATTTCATCCAAGGGACAAATACATGAACAGGAAAAAAAAGGACTGCCACCTGTATAGCTAAAGCCATTCAACTGAGAACTTCCTGTCTACACCAGATTGGGGTTAATTGCCAAGAGGACGGTCGTACCTGATTATGTGAATATTTTTCATATTCAACATGCTGTATTATTTTCCCTTGTTTGATTTGATATGGTATTAAGACTAATCAATAAACCATAAACTGTATTACTAAGAGGAAGAATTTCTTGGTAATTCTCTGGAGAGACAAGAAAGGAAGACAAGGCAATTTACTTTTGTCTTGGAAACCTAACAGTCTGGATTCACTAGGGGCTTTCTGCAGAGGCTCAGAAGTAAACACTCTCCAATGGAGAAATGTTGAAGCATAACTTATTCCACCCTCATCACACCACCTTCAGAACAATAATGTCACATTAACTGAAAGCAATAGTGTACTTTCACAAAGGTTACCAACAGAGCAGCAGTCCCTGTACATGTTCAGAAGGCTTCTACGTTATCTGGACTACAAGCGTTTCTCAACCTTGGCAAGTTTTCTGCCCCAGCTACGGACTCCAAAGAATGCAGCACACACAAAGTTTGTACAAACCTTAGTTTACTAAAATAAAATCAGTTGTTTTTTTTCAAACAAAGGCTGCTAATTAACTTTCTTAACAGCCTGCAAGAATCCAAAGAATAAATAATCTTAATCTTACTATGGTTGGCAGAAAGCCCAGAAGCAATTTGCAGAGAACTAAGATCAAGGCACGGAGGAGAGTGAACGAAGTTGTTCCCTGCAAATTGCTTCAGTTGGCATTCCTCCTTAAATAGGCTAAGGGAGTGGCCAATTAGCCCCAAGCCTTACTCTCGAGGAGATCTCCTCCTGAGGAGCCACTCCTGTCTTTTGACAGCTCTGCGCGCCCGTGCATTGAGAAGAGGCTCCTCCTCTTCGTCCTCTTCACTTAAGAGAGTTTCTGGAGGTTCTGAAGGCCCTGGCTGAATCCAGGCCTCTGGCACCACATCTTCTCCAGCCTCATTGTCCGACTTGAGTGCCAGCTGCACAGGCTGCTGGTGCAGCACACCAGCCTCCTCACTGTCCCAATCAGCCACCAGCCGCACAGGCCGCATACGGGCCACAACAGCAAGTTAAATGCTGTCTGGGGAACTCTGGGAGTTGAAGTCCACGAGTCTTCAACTTGTCAAGTTTGGAGACCCTGTTCTAGACTAAGTAGACTTAGAATAACTTTATTGTCACTTTGAATCTACACTAATCAGCATACATTAAAATGAAATTTCACTGCATACGGCTTTCAAAGGGTAACCACACCCAATATACATTACATAAACGTAGACAAAATAATTACAATATTGTGTACATACCCACATATGACACAGAGAAACAACAGTCTAGTTCAGATGTACACATGTACATGGTGAGAAAAATGAGTTTACCCGACGGATGGCATAGGAAACAAAGCTGTCAAACAATCTTCTAGATTCTTTGCTAGAAACACTTCGAAACCTCCTCCCAGTGGGGAGCAACAGAAACAGACCGTAAAGTGGGTGTGTGGGGTCTCTAACAGCGCTTTGAGCTCTAAGCACATAGTGCTTATAAGCAGTATCCTGAATGACAGGAAGCGAGTTTCCTATAATCTTCTCGGCTATCCTTACCACTCCCTGTATGGAGTAACAACGTATATGGCGATTCTCAGTCATCCAGGTCATAGTTGTCCAAAGGTGTTTTTTCAAGAGGCAACTGGACTTTGTTTTTTTTTTTCTTGAAGACGTTTCACTTCTCATCCAAGAAGCTTTTTCAGTTCTGGCTCAGAACTTCTTGGATGGTGGTATTGATCTAGCAGATGACCCTCACTTTGTCAAGGACCTAGGTGTACTTATTTCTGGCGACCTATGCTCCAAAGTTCATTGTAACAGTGTTGCTAAGAGTTGTAAATTTAATTTTGCAAAGCTTTTTTTCTGGAAACATTGTATTGCTAATTAGAGCTTATAAAACTTCTGCTAGACCAGTCTTAAGAGTATTGTTCAACTGTGTGGAATCTGACACCAGTACAATCGAGCGGGTTCAGCTAGAAAAGTTTTGCAGTCTACTGTACACAATAGAATTCCCTATGCTACTAGGCTCGAAATTCTCAGTTTGGGTAACTTAGAACTGCGTCGCTTGCGCTCAGGCATAGGTATTGCATACAAAATTATACATAGTGTTTTACCTATAAATGACTTTTTCTGTTTTAATTGCAATAATACGCGCACGAACAACCGCTTTAAACTCAATGTAAATCGTTCTAAACTTGACTGTAAAAAATATGATTTCTGTAACAGAGTTGTCAAAGTCTGGAATGCTCTGCCTGTTTCAGTTGTCTCAGCTACAAATTTTCAGAGTTTCAGTTGCAAATTGAGTTCCATAGATCTTACTTCACACTTAAGTGGTCAGTATAACGTGCCTATTTCCCCAGCTGCAATGTATGGCTGTGAAAGTTGGACCGTAAGGAAGGCTGAGCGCCAAAGAATTGAGGCCTTTGAACTCTGGTGCTAGAGAAGACTCCTACAAGACCCTTCTACTGCAAGGCGATCAAACCGGTCAGTCCTAGAAGAGATCAACCCTGACTGCTCTTCAGAAGGCCAGATCCTTCTCAAATACTCAAACTCAAATACTTTGGCCACCTAATGAGAAAGAAGGACTCACTGGAGAAGAGCTTAATGCTGAGAAAGATTGAGGACAAAAGAAGAAGTGGACAACAGAATGAGATGGCTGGATGGAGTCACTGAAGCAGTAGGCGTGAGCTTAAATGGACTCCAGAGGATGGTAGAAGACAGGAAGGCTGGAGGAATGTTGTCCATGGGGTCGCGATGGGTCGGA